ATAATGTGTTTTGTATTATAGACAAAGAAAACACGCTTATCTGCTGCGATCCTACAGTCATCTCTGTAACTGGTCATAGGTCAAGTTTATATGGATCACTTCTTCATTCTAGCATCCGCTGTATATTTTGTACCTTCTGGAGAAGGTTCTTTGTCTGGCAACGTGGCATAAACCTCCTCTTTGGGGAACCTGAGTCCTTGGCAAGTCCTTCTGAAATGGACTGCCGCAGTTTTCTGGTAAAAAGAGCTGTTGGCTAATGGTTCTTACTAAGAGGGTTCCAGTGAACACCTTGAAAATACAGCCCCTTTCTATTATTACATGCCGGTGACAACTTTCTCCTTGATCACTTTTTCAGTGGGGTTTAATTTTTGGTTTTGGCGCCGAGGACCGAAGCCAGGGCTTCCAGCTTGCTAGGCTCTACGGCTGTGTCAAATCCCCAGCCCCTCTTCTTGATAACTGTGATCAGTCCTCTAGTCCAATACTTCCAGGGCTGTGGATTTGCACGATGAGAACACAAATGGCCAGGGCAAGTCTCAACTTCTAATTCAACAGGATCATGACTGTGTTTCCTAGTGGAGCATTTCCTCTTCATACGCTAGTATGAACTCCCTGAGCCCAAGCTTGCGGATATCCAAGCAAAAGTTACTTCAGTGGACTATTTGATGTAACTGTAGGAGAAGCTTCACTTCTCTACCTCATGCGTTCTGGTTATGGGGAAGACAGTAAGACAGAGTGGCCGCTGTTTCCAGGACTGGGCACATCCTATGGAACAGCACCCAACCTCGTGGCACAGCCTTACGGCTCATTCGCAGCTGTCAGTGAATCTCCAGTGTGTCCCTTCACCACGCGAGCTGCTACTGGTCCCAAGCCGCATGGCCAGCTCCGAGGGCTCCATTAGCACCAGCCCTTCATGGCATTTATTTCACAGGAAGAGCATCTCCTGTCAGAGCGATGGATAAAGCATTCCAGATGGTCCTGGGAGAATTGTCAAAAAGCAAAGAAAATCTCTGTACCCAGAATATAGACGAATGGAAAGCTAGACTCCTGAGGTCAGGCACAGACTTCACCCCTGTCACCAAAGCCTTTATATAGAGGCCCACTGAGCAGGCACTGTGGTAGCCATTGAAAGAGGCTAGCTGATCTTACGGGATAGATTGTCTCATTTGTCTTGATTATTCGTAGTCTCTTCTGCTGACACCTTTGGTGAACATGTTTATGGACACATAAATCCCTAAATTTCAGAAACACATAAAAGACTTCCATTTTCTTGGCCTCAATTTTCCAATGTCTGCCTGAGTCCTGACTTAGACTATTTACATTTCAATGGATTGCAGACACACAACCCAAGCTTTATTTTGTTGAACCAAAGAGTTTCAAATTCTTGGTGGTGGGAAAAGTCATAAGCCAAGTAAATTTTCCATATATTAAGTATTCATCCTCTACCTAAGCCATGCAAACTATTCCATCCATTGCCTGTATTTGTCACTTAAATATGCTAGGTGAAGCAGACTTTGCCCCTCAGACTGGACCTTACATAGAGCTTTCTCTTGTTCTAGACATACTTAAAATTGGCCAGATTACAAATTGCTCAATAAATCATAGAATATCCCACTCCAATGCAGCACATGTTGCCTCCAAAATCCAGAGTCCCACTGAACGTGGCACCTTTAGTTTAGTCAAAAGTGGTGAAAGGTAGAGGATCTGGCCTAGACAGATTTGCTTCTATGCTTCTGAAAAACATAACTTTTGTGTCAGTCCCCTTAGTTTTCGTGGGATCTTTTTTGCATCTCTTGATATACACTGGTATTGACATGACATCCGGGATTCTTGCCATTTTTTACTCCAGTGACCTAATTGGCATGATGTCAACAATGATATTATGCAAGCTGTCCCTCAAGGACTCTGAGTTAACATACCTGTGAGGTTTACTGATGTCTTGGCCAGGTGAATACAAATGGTTTTTGATAATCACATTCTAGGAAATAACCTTCAATGTTGTTCAACATGTGCTTATTCAGCATGCTCACGCATTTAACTGTGGTATTTCTTATAATGGCTAAGGTAAACAAAATGGCTAGCAATAGAAAATGGGTTAAATATGTTTTGATATATGCATATAATTAAATACAGTTCAACAGTGGAAAAAGAATGAGCCACCCTGGTGTGAGGTATATTGAATGCAATGATGTTCAAAATATACAGATTAACTGCAGGAATCCAAAATGGCTGACTAGAGGAGGAGGCATGTAGGAGAAACTTGGAGGAGAGACATGTGATAACACAGGTATTCAGAAATAGAGGAGGCAGTCCACCCAGAGATGGAAATTATTCTGAAAAATGAATCCTCTAGATTAAACCAAGTATCTTGTTTGTTGTAAAACATTAGGGCCACTGTGGTTCATACCTCCCAGCACTCTTTATCCACACAACAGGCCATCTTGGGAGCATCTCTAACAGCCTGGAGGCTCATGGAGACTGCAGCCCTCATGGCTCCTAGGCACCCAGGTAAGCAGCCTGCAGGCCTGGGCCTGAGGAAGGTCTGAGGAGAGAGATGAGGGAGGGACCTAGGGAGACACTGTGACTGGATGGTTTGCATCCCAGTGGGAATTTTTTGTTTGTTTGCTTGCTTGTTTGTCTGCTCTGCTTTCTCACTGGCTATACTTTTTCTTTCTCTTTCTTTCTTTCTTTCTTTCTTTCTTTCTTTCTTTCTTTCTTCTTTCTTCCTTTCTTTCTTTTTGTTCTTGATTATGAGTATTTCTATTTTTAAAAGTCTTTTCTTTATTCTGCTCTCTGTTTTCTCTTCTCTCTTCCAAACCTTGTTTCTTTTTCACTTCCTCATTTTTTCTGTTGCCTTGGCACATGTCACTTCTTCATATGTAAATTTTGCATATGTACAAAAGAAAACAAGAATAGGCCAGGGCTTTCACTTGGACGGTATCATTCAGGTGACCCTTAACAGAACTATGCTTAGAGGATCCAAACAAAACTGCAAATACATTAACAAGTTCCAATGACCTCAGAGCCTCCTTCAGCCTCTAGTTATGCTCTCCTCCCCTTCACCCTTCCTCCACCTCCACACATTGTCTCTTAAACTCCTCAACACTAACCCTTTACTTCAGCTGTAAAAATAGTCCAACAAATTTTGACCTCTTCTCTAGTTTTCAGCCTGCTAATATTTCTCTTATCCCCTTATCCTCTCACAGATTCAGCCCTTTCTTTTCCTCTTTCCTTCTCCCTCTATATCCCAGACTAATTACTAATAACAGTATAGTATAGTATAGTCTCTGTGGGGTGCTGATAAAAGGGCAAAGTTGTCAAAATAAGTTTTAATGTTCATGATTGATGTGCGCTTGGATCTGTGGAGGCTGCATAGCTAATAGGATTCTCTCCCTACAACACGGCAGCTGAGTCCAACTTAAACTGAATATTGTGAAGTGTTAGACAATACCTCTTGACAAATAGAGACAAGATCGCATCACTGATTAACAAAAACCCACTAAAGACATCTTCATACAAACAACAAAGTCTCTACTCAATGTGACCTCAGACCTCAGAATAAAATATAAAATAAAATTTTAAAAAGAATGTGAAAAACCAGGCAACCAAATGCCTCCAAAGATTCCCAATTCTCCCATAGCAGATTCAAGGGAGAGGAAATCAAACATCAAATACCTGAGCTCTACAAAATGAT